GTTAAATCAAATTTGTTTCGAATTCCGATTAAAATGTTGATTTGTGGTTGGGTTGTGTGGGTTATGGGCTTTTAAAATGAAAAATGAATTTAATTTATGGGTTATCTAGTCAAAACTCACTAACTCAAGATGAGAAACCTAAAAAGAAATAGGTAAAAAGTCCAGCTGCCAAACACAAGGTAAAATCTCCAAATTTTATGAATTTCAAATTTTAGTATAGATTTTACACGAAATGTTTTGCTGAAATCGTAAAATCGTAAGATTTTAAGATTTAAATCTAGATTTTGACAACAATGGTCATCGGACACCAAAGGACAACAAGTCAACTCCACCATGCATGAGAAACCAGAGGGCTTCCCAACACCCAAAAGCTCAGGAAGCCAGAGGCTTCCGAGCACCAAAAACCAAAAAAACCAAGCTTGGGGAAGATGTAGTCAAAAGGAGGAGACTTCTAAAGAGAGAAAGTCTAAAAGAGAGTAAAATTTTTCTGTTGATTTAGGATGACAACTTTATTATTAATTTATCTAAAAGTATAAACTTTTTAAAATTTTAAATTAAATAGTAATTTTTTTTTCAAATGATAATATGAAATTTTATAATCTTTTTTACTTTTTTTAAAGATTTATTAGAGAAGATTTATTAGAGAATAATGATAACGTAACAAATGACGATCTTAATCAAAATAGGATAATATTCATGTATTTAAATTAAAAAAATAAAAATTTACTATATAATTTAAAAATTCAAAAAATTTATATCTTTGAATAAAAAAATGATAAAATCATATTTTTATCTAATCATTTGAGAATTCACAAAATTTTAAATTCATCCGAACAGAACACCAGCCATTATCTGTGTAGATGCAAAGAATTTCATTCACAATCAATGGATTCCCTTACCATTCTCTGCAATTTTCTTTCTCAAGAAAAAAAAAAAAAAACCAGTGTGTTGAAAATGCAAAGAATTTTATTCGAGATAAAACAAAATATAAAAAGAGTAGGAATTGTCACAAAGAAATTTTTTTCAAAAAAAAAACCCTTACTGAATATGTTAGTAAATTATATATTTCAGTATGTTACAAGGTTACCTCAGATTTTCTTAAATTTTTAAATCAAATAGTAAATTTTCACTTTT